CAGTGTAGAAACTGCACTGAGATAATGGAATAGCTATCCTGCACTGCACTGGATATTTCTTTTAGAGGTGAAGTCCAATCACCCGTTTTACCCTCAACCCTTAAACTTTATAAACTACTCAAATATAGCAACTTCCAGAGAAGAAAAGTGAAGAAAGAAAGGGACTGGAAGAATCAGTAAGTTTCATATGTCACATTTTTCTATGGGAGGGTTTCACCATAAATATACTATTCTAAGCAGAAGTAACTACAGCAAGAGTTCTCCTGCGCGCCATTTATGGTGGAACCTTTACCTTTTATTTTTACATTAGTATAGTGTATTATAGAACCAAGTTTTAAAGTTACAAGTCACAGTTTAGTGCAGTAGTCTTGCACTGAAAAACTTTCTGAGAAATTAAAAAATTAGACCAAGAACCATGCCCATCAACCTGACCCACATCTTAAATTTGAGACAAGAATTCTGTCATCATCTAGTGGAAAATAAACCTTAAATTTTAGAAAATATAGATCGGGAAGATATTTATGTATACATAAATTTTTTGGAATAAAAAATTTTAATTAAATTAAAATTTAAATTAAAAAATTAAATGGAATTTAAATTTTAAAAATCTATGTTCTCACATTCTGTCAGTGCTGGTTTAAACATTGTTAGATTTCTTTCATATATCTTAGACTTCGGGCCAACTGTTTGTGGACTTTCTCTTTACTTAACCATGGCTTAATTGGATATAGGTAGAGAGCTTACTTATAGTCCATTGCCACAAAACAAATTTTGCCACTTTGTAATTTCATGTCAAATGTGATGAAAATGAAGCAGTAGCAACTGAAATATATTTATGAACTTATTTTCAATTGACAAAAAATGGTTGTGTATATTTATGGGGTATACAATTTTGACCTATGTATTCATTGTCCAAAGAGTTAATAAAGTTAATATATTCCTCACCTCATCAGTCTGTTATTTTTTGTGTGATGAAGGCATTAAAAATATATTCTTTTGCAATTTTGAAATATACAATACTTTATTGTTAAATTTGGTCATGATGCAGTGCAAAGGATCACTAAAACTTTGTCCTCCAGCTTAACTGAAACTGAAAGTATGATTTGTGAATCGAGCAGACCAGAACCAGGGGAGGCTCAAAGCCACTCTGTACTGCCTTGTGGTCCAAGAGGATTTATGGATAGAAAGAGGAAAGAGACATACAGTAAATAGAAGTGAGGTAGAGAAACAGCTGGAATGGTTACAGCATAGCATTTGCTTTATTTAAATATGGTTTGAACAGCTGGCTGCCTTTGATTGGCTGAAACGTGGTAATAGGCACAAGAGTAAGTTACAATCTGTTTATATATTCAGTTAGGTTACAGTTCGCTATGTACAGAGAAACTATAGGTCAAATTTAAAATACCTACGGAAGCAGCTTTAGGCTCAATGTAATTTAACACCTTTGATCAACATTCCCCCTTTTCTCAACTCTCTGCCTTCCTTTCAGCCTCTGGTGGCCACCTTTGTACTCTTCGTTTCCATGAAATCGACTTTTCCATTTGGTTTTGTCCAGATGTCTGTGGTGTCGATATTATACTTCAATTTTGGTGCTAATATAGGATTAAAGTAAATAATCTTACAAACAGTTTGCCACATAGAAAACCTTTGTAATATAATGGCTTTTGTTATTAATACTGCTTGTTATAATGTGGAAATATATGACACTTGGTGGGATCACATTTGATGGTAGGTATGAGCATATTTAAATTCTAATGAACTCAAGTAATCTAAGTCAGCCTCTTCAAATCTCTTCCAAAGCTAATTTTCATTCACTATCTATTAGATTGTCCTGTTTATTTTCTTCATAGAACATATTACCATCTGATACGTATTTGCTGGTTGAACAATAAAAAAATTAAGTATAGATAATAGTAATTGCATCCTCACAATGTATCAGTCCTTACACATCACTCATTTAAGCCTCATTCTCATCCTACAAAAAAAGGCATGAAAATTTGTATATTTAAGAGGTTATTGTGGTGTACTCATATGTTAAGTAATCACTGTAAGGTCACATGATTATCAGATGAAAATGTAAGAAATTAAATCCAAGTTTTTCTTATATAGTAGCTCTCACTATGTTATTCTGCTTTAAGTAATATAGTTAACATTTTATATTATTCTACTAGTTATAATTTAATTTATTACTTTAGTCCTACTATTGCAATTTTCTGACATTTTCCCACACACAAAAGAAAAAAAGTGAAAGATAACAAGTTTATGATCTCATATAAAGCCAAGCATTTATTTATTTTCAATCCTTCATGAAAAAAATATGCTTTTCCTTTTTTGCAAGATGATTGAAATACCCAAGATAGATCTTTCTTATGAAAAAGAGTTGACATTAAACTATTAGAGCAATAAAGCAGAATATCCAGAGAGACTTTAACACTGTGAAAAGCGGTTGCAAAATTGTTCTGCTAGAACTGGAGTCTCAAAGGGCTCTGAGTGATAGTTACAACACAAAATAACAACTGAAACATGGGTAGAAACAAACTGTAATCTATTAGAAATGCAAATTATCTTTATTGCAAAGGTAATATATGCTTACTGAGGCAAATTCAAATAATCTTATCCAAAATAAAACAAGAAGAAAAATCTAAAACTCATATGTAATCTCACCAATTAAGAGACGGCGATTGTAAATATTTGGCTATAACATTTCAAAATCTTTCTATATTTATGTTTATACAAATGGGTTTATATTATACATAATTTTTAGAGTTCTTTCACTTAACAATAGGCTGCAAAGATCTATTCATCACAATCACTTAGTTATCTGTATTATTATACTATTAACTATGTTTCCATCATTGAACTCAGGAGAGTTTTTTAGTTGTGTTACTAATTTAAATATGCATGTGAGTCAACATTCTTGCAAGTGAAAACCTGAGCAGACTTTTTGCAACTCCTGTATGATAAATTCCTAAATGTGAAGTTGCTTTACCAAAAGGGAAACACACACACACACACACACATACACATATATATAATACCCATTTGGAGCTCACATTGTGTTCTCCGCACTGCTGTTACTGAGGTCTCCAGCGCCTTCTCCCTCCTGTGCAAAATGGCAACTCTTAAGGAAAAACTCATTGCACCAGTTGCGGAAGAAGACGATAGCAACCAGTCCCAAACATAAGATCACTGTAGTGGGTGTTGGACAAGTTGGTATGATGTGTGCTATCAGCATTTCCGGGAAAAGTCTCTGGCTGATGAACTTGCTCTTGTGGATGTTTTGGAAGAAAAGCTAAGGAGAAATGATGGACCTGCCACAATGGAGGCTATTTCTTCAAGACGCCTAAAATTGTGGCAGATAAAGATTATTCTGTGATTGCCAATTCTAAGATTTGAGTGGTACTGCAGGAGTCCCGTT